AAATGGGAAGTAAAATCAGAAGTGATATTCAAGATCATATGAGTGGTATGGAATTCCAACATGCATGGGAACTAAGATAAGTATGCACGCAACACGGGGGCAGAAGATTAGGAAAAGTAATGTCTTACATTTAAAGAAATCTAAAAAGGAACGAAAAGAATTATTCGATTAATGATCAAGAGTATTTCGAAGTACTATCCATACAACGTATATGATGACAATCATATAGCCGTAGAAGATTCTGGTATAAGTTACAAGAAATAATTAAGTCCAGGTCATAGACAAAGGATTGAATTGTTAAAAGATTGTATCATGGATATTCCATAGCGCCCATGAAAGACTAAAAGTAATAACTGATACCATGAGTCGCAGATCGAGAGATAGCTTAAGCATACATAAATATACTGATCAGAAGGAGGAGGAAACTAAAAAGTTACACCAACAACGTAAATCAGGAGTCTGATTATTGGACCCAGAAAATTATAGACCTCGTGATTGAGAACATTACAGGATTACTCTTAGATATTAGAGGTACAAGAGAGATAATACAGTAGCCATATTCTATAATGGCTCTACGATAAAGCCAGTTAGAAGAAGTACCAGCCTCATAAGAAGTCAGTATGAAGCTCCCACCAGGTTGTGTATGCACCAGAGGTGCAAGTATTATAATAGAGCTTCAACTCGTGGATGTGAATTATACCTATATGGAAAGGAGGTCATGAAAGAGATAAAAGAGGTGAGGCGATATTTTAAGGTAAGTAAGGTAAAGGTGAACAACGTATGAGATACTGCAGTGCAGAAGGGTGTGAATAGTCCATACTTTGAATAAAAATCTAGAAGCGCGGGGATTCAGTATCCAGGAATGATAGCGGTGTCGTCAGTGACATATCTTCCAGCCTATGGTTTCTAGGTACCGAGAGATCTAGACAAGATAGCAAAGAATAGTTGGAAACGATGTGATGTCTCGCTTGATACTCCAGAATAACATAAGGAAATCTATGGTGCAAGCAAGTTAAAGGAAGATGGCGAATAATATAAACGGAAAAGGGCCAAAAATGCCCCTAAGGTATTGAAAATGGCTCAATTTTGCCCTCCTTCCACCTATTGGGCCATAAATGCCCTTAACGTTAGTTTTTGGGCTCAAACTTACCCTTATATCTAACAGAAGGGCCAACAATACCCCTAACGAAAATGGCTCAGAAATACCCTTTGTTAACCTTTTGGTCCGCAAATGCCCCTAAAGTTTGTTTTTGGGCTCAAACTTACCCCTATATATAAAAGAACTAACCTGGTCAATGTTTTGACTTTAAATTTGCCATGTGACATTTTATTAATCCGTCACGTGTATTATTTGTATTAAATAAGTCCACCTGTATCTTTTAAAATATCCAACGACCTTGGCCCGCTCCTATATATTTGGATGGTCGGCTAAAAATAATTACATTCTCTAGTTAAATATAAAAAAAATATACATTGATTATATATAAAAATATATATATTATACATTAATATTTTAATATATATTTTTTATCATATTATTTTTAGGAGAAATTATACAATGTAGTTTTCCCTATCAATTATGATCTATAACTCGAATTTATTAAGCAAATATGACAATGGAACGATAATTTTTGCGAATATTTTAGCTCTATCGTTATATATTAAAACACTATTAGTTCCCATTGAAAAGATCATGTGAAGTCCATTAATGTGCTAAGCAGTTGGATATGTATATAATTAAAGGTTTTAAATAATTTCATTTCCATCTGTTTCTTTGTTTCTCCTTTAGAATCATATAAATAGAACATTATCATTTTTATGTTTGTAAATTAAAATTTATATTTGTTAAACTTGTTAAGATTTGCAAAATTTGAAGAGAAAACTATACCGTATAATTTCTCCTAAAAATAATATCATGTAAAATATATATTAAAGTATTAATGTATAATATACATATTTTTATATATAATCAATGTATATTTTTTTATATATTTAACTAGCAAATGTAATTATTTTTAGCTGACCGTCCAAATATATAGGAGTGGGTCAAGGTCGTTGGGTATTTTAAAAGATACAGGTGGGTTTATTTAATACAAATAATACACGTGGCGGATTAAGAAAATGCCACATGGCGAAGTTAAAGTCAAAAAATTGACCATGTTAGTTATGTTATATATAAGGGTAAGTTTGAGCCCAAAAACTAACGTTAAGGGCATTTATGGCCCAATAGGTGGAAAGAGGGCAAAATTGAGCCATTTTCAATACGTTAGGGGCATTTTTGGCCCTTTTCCGTAATATAAATAGATATGTGTAGGTCACAAGCAAAAGTATGGTAAAGCGACAAGGTTTTAGGAGAAGGTGATGAGAATGAATAAGTCCTCAGGATTAAGCCCATAAAAACAAGAGAGCTGATGGTTTCTCTAAGTTATAGAAAGCTCAGTATAGCCTGAATGAACTCAAAGGAGTCTAAAACTACTAACATTTAGAAGTGATGGAATGCTTTCCTGGCAGTAGATTACGTGTGTAATTGTGATAGCTAAAGAATGACGTTTGGGCTTTCAATTGAGTTATGATTTGAAGAAAAACAAATCAGAGGGAAAAAGAAAAGAAAAGTCACATAGGTGCACTTACAAGGTCAGAGTCGTATATGCTGCATGATAGAAGGTAACAACAGTTACGAGATTGGAAGGATTTCTGTCACGACCCAAAATGTAACCATAGTCGTGATGGCGCCTATCGTGTTACAAGGCAAGCCTATTTTCCAAAATATTACTACTAAATCGATTATAAGAATTTAATAAAATAATACCAACATTTGAATTTCTCATAAACTAAATCAACTCTAAATATAATATAGAAAATACGGAAACGAGCCCCAAACATCGGAGTGTCACTAAGTCAAGAGCGTCTAAAACTATGAACTAGGATATATAACTATCTAACTGTCAATACAGTCTCAAAAGAAGAAATGATAAAAGGAGTAACAAGGTCTTGCAGACGCTAACAACTACCTTGCAGTCTCCAAAGTTAGCCGGCCTGAACTCAACGATTGCCGCCTTCTAACTCACCTGGATCTGCACATAAAGTGCAGGGTATAGTATGAGTTAGAGGGCGGTGATCGTTGAGTTCAGGCCGACTAACTTTGGAGACTGCAAGGTAGCTGTTAGCGTCCGCAAGACCTTGTTACTCCTTTTATCATTTCTTCTTTTGAGACTGTATTGACAGTTAGACAGTTATATATCCTAGTTCATAGTTTTAGACGCTCATGATTTAGTGACACCTCGATGTTTGGGGCTCGTTTCCATATTTTTCTATAATTATATTTAGGGTTGATTTAGTTTATGAAAAGTTCAAATGTTGGAAATGTTTCATTAAATTCTTATAATCGATTTAGTAGTAATATTTTGGAAAATAGGCTTGCCTTATAACACGATAGGCGCCATCACGACCATGATTAGATTTTGGGTCGTGACCACAAGTCGTGGTATGAGTCAGTATCAGCAGGTAAGTATATCTCCAGATCATCTTTGACTCCCAGATACTTTCAGTTATTATATTATCGGTTCAGTTTCAACTTTCAGCTATTTTATTGCCTTGCATACTCGGTACGTTATTTCGTACTGACGTCCCTTTTTCTGGGGACGCTGCATTTCATGCGTGCAGGTTTAGACGGACAGACGGGTAGACCTCCTTAGTAGGTGTTGCCCGAGTTCAGCTTTATCGGTAAGCTCCACGTCCTTCAGAGTTGCCGGGTCTAGAGTTTTGTGTACATCTTGTGTATATATGTATATAAGTTATGGGTAGATCGGGGCCCTGTTCCGATCACAATACATCCATCAGTAGAGACTTGTAGACATATCCTTTCAGTTAGTGCAGTATGTTGGGCTTGTAGGCCTTCTATGTATATTTTATTGGTTTGTCAGCTATAGTAGTTGTGACGGCCTTGTCGGCCCAGCATTATATTGACGTTTAGTCAGCGTTAGCTTCCGTTCAGTTTTATATTTTGCTTCGCAAATTGTCGTGCAATGTGGCCACAACCAAATTATAATATTATATGTTCAGAGTCCCTTAGTCGCAAGTTGGTACGCAAGGATAGGTGAGGCACCGGGTACCGGTCTTGCCCCTAGGTTCGGGGCATGACAATATTCTAGTATTTGTCTATCATTCATCATTGTCAGAAAGAAGAATCATCCACCTAATTCAATATTGGGTGAATCATTCTTCGTATTTACTTTAATGCCATTTGTCGTTATTTATTGCTTGATATTCCCCCATCATTAATGATCTTAAAACATTGAATGTACATCACATTTAATCTTCTCTCAACACTGCTCTTGCATTATTTATGTTAATCGATTATAAATTTGAAGTTATTATCATTAACTAGGTTTAGCCCTTCATCATACAAATTAGGTTAATCAAACGTCTACGTTTTTTGGTCAAACATATACAAAATAAACGAAGTCACCAACAAGTGTTGTGGTGGTGATAAGTAATCCTTAATCAGAGGTTTCGGGTTCGAGCTCTGGTTATTGAGTCGCCTTTGTTAGGAAACACTTTAACCCCAATGTGGGTCTTTCCGGCGCGAATCCGAATTTAGTCGAGCCCCAATACGGATACCAGACACCAGATCGGAAACTTCAAAAAATAAAACGAAGTCAAACTTAGAGGGTAGTAGAAATTTAGACATCTAGAATGGTTTGAATTTTGATGTCAACAAACCTTACTAATTCAAAAAGGTATCTAAAAAGTTTTTTTCCCAAAACCATTTAACAAGAAATTTTATAATATAAAAAGTATATAAAGTTATAAACGGATGGAAGTTGGCTAATGTTGTACTACTACTAAAATGATGACAACAATAATGTAACGTTGAAAAATCCACGTGGTGTCTGCTGAAGCTACATTCAGTTGACAATTGTGACTAATGAAACACTCAAAGCCGTAATACGACAGCGTAAAAGCCTACAGAAAAACAATAAAAATCTGTACACAACACTTTCACATGTGAGAAAAGTCCTATGTCTACTTCAAAACATTCATTATTAGAGGTACCTAAATCAAGAAACAACAGCTTCCACTATATTACAAGGTCTAAAATTTTATGGGATTATTTTTTCTGATTGGTTTGCTCTAGGGTTTTCTTGAATGAATTAATTGGGGATCTTTCAATTTTTGTGCAAGTTTCTCAGAAAAACTGGACCCTTTACTTTGTTTAGTAGTAAAGTTGGATTTTTTACTAGAATTTTGGGGTAAAAAATTTGACGGGATATTTTTTCTGGTTGGTCTGCTCTTGAATTTTCATGAAGGAATCAATTGGTGATCTCTAAGGGGAGAAAGTTCAATTTTTTTGTAAGTTTATCTGTAAAAAGGTGGACCCTTTACTTTGTTTAGTAGTAAAGTTTGAATTTTTACTTGTATTTTGTGGTAAAAAATTTGATGAGATATTTTTTCTGGTTTGTTTGGCCTAGGTTTTCTTGAAGGAATCAATTGGTGATCTCTAAGTGGAGAAAGTTCATTTTTTATTGTAAGTTTATCATAAAAAAGGTGGACCCTTTTCTTAAATAGTAAAGTTTGAAATTTTACTAGTGTTTTGGGGTGAAAAAATGGCTTGTGAGGGTAGCTATATGTGGAGTTTGAGTGGTATTGTGGCAGCTTTTGTTGATCTAGCTATAGCATATTTCTTGCTTTGCGCAGCAACAGTAGCTTATTTAGCATCAAAGTTTCTTGGTTTTTTTGGTTTAAGATTGCCATGTCCTTGTGATGAACTTTTTGGTAATGGGAATTTATGTTTTCATAGACTTTTGATTGATTTCCCAGCTGAGAAAGTGTCTAATGTTCAACTTTCTGTAAAAGCAAATTTCCCTTTTAATGATACCATGTGGGGAAAGGACCAGAATTGTAATTTGAATTGGAGATTAATTGGTGAAAGGGAGAATAGTCCTAATAAGTATCTTGAAATGGGCGATGAGGCTTCATGTAGTTCAGTATCAGATGCAAGAAAGTCACATAATAATATTGCTAGGATTGAGTTAAGTCCAAGGAATGAATTTGGGGCAGTGAATCCATTGGGTGCGAGTGGAGGAAGGCTTGGGATAAAGGGGAAAGGGGTGATGAATCTGAAACAAAGAGGAGGGATTCGTCGAAGAAGGCGTAAAGCAGCTGTTGATTTTGGGAGATTTTCATCAGTTTCATCATATGATCCTCCATGTGAAGAGTTTCCGCTTGATCCTCCATCTCCGCCTAGTATTAATAAAGAAGGTAAATGATTGATTGAAGATGACACAATGTATTTTTGATTTTAGAGATGCTAATGCTCTCCTTTGTATGTTTGATGTTTAGTCACTGATTTTCTGTGTACTTTCAGCTTATTATTGCATCCTTAGCTGCACGGGACTAGCTTGAGATTGAGTTGTAGTAGTAGTTGTTGTTGTTGTTATCAGGGACGTATCTAGGTCTTAGGATATGGGTTCACGTGAACCCATACTGCTCTCTTTAAACCATGTATAATAATGTTATATTTCTTCAAAATTACTTTAATATATGTGTGTGCACCCATGCTCAAAGACTCCTATAGTACAATAATTATTGGGTGCACCTCTACGAGTAAAATTAACGGTTCAAATCCCACTTCGGACGGTCTTCTTTTCAGCACGGAGTATAGATATACGCGTGAAAATCACTAAAAAGACTTAGAAAAAATATAATTTTGAACCTATAATTTCAAAAGTGTAGTGGGTTCATGGTAAGAGACTAAAGTCAAACACGTCAAATGTAAATTCTAGATCCACCTCTTCACAATAGGACACCCATCCTCTTGAAATTCTGGATCCGCCTCTGGCTGTTATGGTTGCATTCTAATATTCCTGAATGTCACTATATGAGCCCTTATTCCGCTGATAAGGGAAGAAAATCTGGAGACATATTGGTTGACTTAGAACATGTGTCTGCCTTTTTATTTCCAAAACAAAATGTTGAAAGATACCGTATAGTTACGTAATTTAAACAGCCCTTTTTGGGTGTAAATGGTGTCAAGAAATGGTTTTTTTTACTATCAATCAAATGATTTCAAGCGAGTATTTTGCCTCTTATGCCGAAGATATTTTTGGTACAATTCGTTATGGATAAAACAAAAGGAAGAAATTTTTGGTAATATTCAATATGTTTGAGCAGAATCAGTTACTACTTTTGCAACAACCTAAGCTTCAACCCAGACTAGTTGGGGCTTAAAAGAAGATACCTCAAATTAAATATTTTCAAAATTTTAATTTCCACAATTTGTAGCCTCCCTTATTTTACTAGCATTAAAGCCTTGGTTTTTTAATATGTATGAAACTAAATGCTTCTCTTTACGGTGAATACAGATGGTTGCCACCCTCCACTTGTTATGAGATTGGGTGAGAGAGACAGCTTTGAATTGAATGGATTTCCTGATGAAGTTGAGCACATCGGAAAGAACTTTGCATCCGTTGAAGAACTGAGACATAATGGGGAACTCGGTTCCAACTTCGATGAGAAAAAAAGATTAAGACTTTTGGAACGAGCCTTAGAACACGAACAAGAAGCTCGAGCTGCTCTTTCCCTTGAGCTTGAGAAGGAAAGAAATGCTGCCGCATCGGCCGCAGATGAGGCTATGGCTATGATCTTACGTCTACAAGAGGAGAAGGCATCTATTGAAATGGACGCCCGGCAATACCATAGATTAATTGAAGAGAAATCTGCTTATGAAGCAGAGGAAATGAACGTTCTAACGGAGATCCTGGTGCGGACAGAGAGGGAGAAACACTTTTTGGAGAAGGAACTTGAAGTGTATAGGCAGATGTCTTATCTTGGAAATGAGGAATCAATAGTTGATAGTGGGATTTTAGCGGATGCTCTAAGACTTGCTGATGCTTCATCCGATCCTACTGAGGATCCAGTTCTTATGCTTCATCAGATTAGTACATCGTTTGAGGCAGAAAACAGGAATTCCGTGGAGGTAATTTCTGTTGATAATAAAAGTTATACTGCTTTGGGGGGAAAGGCACCAATACAAAAACAGAATAAAGATGCCAGCTCCCAAAAGCAAGTTGACCTAAGAGAGCATTCTTATAGCAGCCAAGAATTTCAGGAGAAAGAGATGGTGCTTATGGTTTGTATTCTTACACCTCTGATGTAAACCAGAAGCTTCCTGATCATGCCATTTCGCTTGGAGAGGAAGTGCTAAAAGAAAATCCAGATACAGAAACCTGTGAAAGAGCTTGTATTAATGTTTCTGGAAAAGACAAGTGTTTGAAGTATCATGAGACAGATGGATATCATGGATTAAAATGTCCGTGTAATTTGACCTTGGATAAAGAACCTCATGTTTATGATGTTCATGTCATTGTTGATGGATCCAACTTTTGCAACGAAGTCAATAGTGGTGAATCTACGAATAGTGCATTAGAATTTTCTGGAAAAACTAGTGTCCCTACTGAAGCTTCTCCTGCACAGAGGATTAATGTAATTAGAGATCGTCCAAGTACTAGCACGTTGTATACTCAAGTGGATCTTAAAAGCAGTGCAGACACGTCTTGTGGGCTTCCACCAGTGGGGCCACGTGGTAAACCTTTGCTATGTGATTTGCGGCGAAATCCCATGTCCTCAGTAGACAATGAAAGACTGAAAATTGAAACTGAAGTGGGACGGCTTCGTGAGAGGTTAAAGATTGTGCAAGAGGGAAGAGAGAAACTTGACTTGACTTCAGAGCATAGAGAAAGAGAAAAGATGCAGTTAAAGCTTCTGAAGGATATAGCATACCAACTTCAAGAGATTCGGCAGCTTAATGAACCTGAGAAGGCTGTACGACAGGCTTCCTTGCCCCTGCCGTCCTCTAAGGTATGAGACTAGCATGTTCAAATATTTTGTTGTTGTGATTATTAATAAGTTTATACATATTTCTTTTAATTAATATTGTCTTGTATTGTCGCGGAATTGTTATTTATAAATGAATGTCAACAAGTCATCGTGTGATTGTTTATTTGTGGCCTCTGCTTGACATTTTCTTGGGCCTGGCTTTGCGGTTATTTTGTGTTGACCACTTGATTGTCCACCTATGATCACTCCAAATTGCTTTTCTGCGTCCACCTATGATCCACCTATTCTAAAAATTGACCTTGTTTGTTGATGGTGTCTTGATGACGCGAGATAAGCACTCATTTAGTGCTGTCATCCTACAATTTAGGCCCTACAAAAAGAAAAAAAGAAAGAAAGTTGATCTGTTCATCTTTGTGGAATTTGAATGGTACTTCCAAAAGTTTGGTGCTCAGGACAAATTGCTTGTTTTTTCTTTAGTTTACATAGTACCTTGAGAGTTGTTTTTTGACCTTATCTATGCTGTTCTTTTTCAAATTTTAAGTGTAATCACCATGCTGTTCTTGCATCATCTGTTCCTTGAGCAAAGAAGTAATGGTATGAAAGTTGTGTTTCAGGGCATGTCAAAGAAAAGGCGTTCTCGAAGTGTTTCTGTAGGAATGCAACAAAGCTCTTGAGGTATGGTAAATCTACATGACGATTACTATAATTTTTCCCCTTGTGACATCATAAAACTTTGAACTGTGAATTTACCGATAAACAAAATACAGGGGTTCAAATGGTTCTGAGCTTGGAGTTCCTAATACTGTGCCTTGGATCTTCCATCACAGTTGCTCCTATCCGAGGAAGACAATCCAATTAATGCCCCATATTGTTTTCTGAAGAGATGTTGTGCAGTTATTTGAGAACAAGTTTTGCTGGGCAAATGACCTCTTTAAAGCATGCAGCTGACGGTATTAATGTGCAACCGCTGAGGACAAACTGGGATTGATCCTCTATTGGATAATATGGAAGATTATGAGTAAGAAGGCACAACAATTGTTATCTTTTCACTGCTGGTAACAACTTATCACTCTGCTATTTATTGACCTCTACCCAGTGTTCAGATGTAAGGTCCCTGTTGTTAAACCTCTGCTGTTTCTTCCATCTTTTGTGGATCATTAGATAGTAAGGCATTGAATGTTAGCTACTTGTACAAAAAGTTTTATGTTTTCTTTCTAATAATATATTAGTGGACATGTTGAATAAGTACTTTACCTAATAATTCGTCTCCAAAACACAGCCATTTCACAAATGACCCAAGTTACTGCTTGAGTAGGAAAAATGCATCCTCTCTCTCTCTCTCTCTCTCTCTCTCTCTCTCTCTCTCTCTCTCTCTCTTTATATATATATATACATACATACATACATATATACACACACACATATATGATGTGTGTGTGTGTGTGTGTGTGTGTGTGTGTGTGTTCTATTGTTCCATATGCTTTATTCATCGACTATACCACAGGTTCAACGATCTGTTAGCAGTGGTTAACATATTATGAGACAAAGACCACAATTTAAAAGAATCTGGTTAAAGAGTAATACTTTTGAGGAACCACAGCAGCTTGGCAGACTAGTCGCTCTTAGCATGTTCGGCTTCTATTTTTGCATAGGCTAGTTGTTGCAACATTCCTTTTTCTATTTAAACTCCTGTGTCTTTATTAGGGTCTGCTGAATATCTTGTCCTCTCCTTTTTCTTAGTGGAATTTGCTTGGGTTCTAAAGTTTACTGAAGAAGAACATTGATTTCTTATCCATATTTGGTTAAAGTTTGAGCGAGGTAGCCTAAGAGTAATCTTTTAATTTGGATTTACTCATAAGTGAATGAAAATTGAACCTTGAAAAGCTGAGCCTTTTCTTCTTCCGAATAAGGATTACAAACAGGAACATACATTGTTTGCGCTATCTAGACATGGTGAGTTCCCAAAGATTCCCTCAAGCTCATATAAATTAAGGGATCAAAAAGCATTTTAACTAGCTTTAGTACAGAAACAACGTATATGAAAACCATGTAACTCTTAAGAGAGTACAAGTTTATTCAGGAAACACAGAAAAATGATATCTCCACCTCGCCTCCTCTCAGCGAAGGGAAACCTTTCCTGGAATTCCAGTCTTATTTGGAAAACTAAAGTAAACGCTCACCTCTTGTCATAATCTCTACCTGTTTCAATCATCCTTCTCTTTACCTTCATTCTTCTGATCTGAGCTACTTGCGCCTGAGGACTCGTTATAAAACACCTTATAGCTACGAAGTGGTAGCTGTTGGATGTATGACCTTATGAGATCAAAATAGAGAGGGAATTGATTAAATGCAAAAAACACCACAGGTATGCATGTCACCCCGTATATTGGAAATGCTGCTCTCCTTAAGTTATCCTGGAGGACAAAGAAATGCGCAGCGCAGAATGAGACCAAGATAGCAGTTATTGATGCAAAAAGCGAAGTTAATCCTAGGAGCAACTTTCTTGGCAAGTCTTTCTCGAAATCACTGTGTTGGCATCGAGATGTGAGGATAGCTAGAAAAAACACCAGGGCCGTGACAGAGAAGCAAAGAGAAACAAGTGATGAGATAGAAAATACTGAAAAAGCAGGTTGACTTTCAAGGTATGGACGGCCAGAATCATCGGCTCCACCTGGGACTGCAGAAGCTGTAGCAAATGCAACTGTAGCAATCAGTGCTGCAACGACAGAGAACGAATTTGAGGTTGTGACAAGCCACTCAGTGCCATCTTTGAGTAACTTTGCATGCGTCTCTCTGAAGATCTCTCTTGGTGTCTGACCTTTTTTATTATAACGGACATATGATTGTTTTGGCAAAGTGTGCTTTACATACTGCATTATGATGGGTAAAATTCTTTCAACATATCTAAGTTTAATCCTTACTGATATAAAAAAGGATGGTTGTTAGAGATCTCTTACCTTGTACCACTTCCTTTCGCCTTGCAACTGTAACGCAGTACCAGGGATGCGCCACAACTCGTGCTTCTGAAACAATGCAGCTAAGTGTACTGCATTGTTTTCTTGTTTGTCCACATGATAAAACACGCGCTCTGGATACTTTTGTCCTATTAACCAGTTATAGACGGCTGTTTGCCTATGCTCTACTGCCAAAAGCAAGATATTCTTCTCGTCAGAATCCGTATCTTGAATGGCTATTGGGAACTTTTCAAGGATCTCCTTCACCATCTCTACGATACCCATCTTTGATGCCACCAATAGGGGTGTCGCCTTGGTCTTTGACAACTCTGTATTTAGACCTATAGTTACCAGTTCATCTACCCCTCAAAAAAATAAAATAAAAGAACTATAGTTATTAGTTGCTTTTAGGGAACATATAGCTTCAAAGAAAATTGATCCTAACTTGGAATATTAGAACAAAATTTACAGCATTTTGCGTGATAGATTTTGTGTTTTTAAAATTGCAGAATCTTGATGACACAGAACAAAAGTTTTCAGTGCCACACAAGTATGACCAGAAAGAGACGAGAGATTCTTTACCAGACTTGATATCATCTTTCTTTTTGTTATCTGTGCTTGAGGTTGCTGGTTGCTTGATCTGTGAAATTTTACTAGGTTCTTCTGCTTTTTCTAAATTAATATCTGTTGGAGGGGGTGCTGGAGGAGGTTTTCCAATTTGCTTATAGAGGCCTTGATCATAGAGGTCCTTATCTTCAGGCTTCTCCCCAGTATTTTCATAGAATTTGTAACTTTCTTCTTTCTCAATCATCAACTTCATAATTTTAACTGCCCATTGATGGTGCTTCTTCTTTACCTCTAATTTCTTTATCCTTTGGAGTCCTGCATGCAACAAGATTTGAGACCTTATGGCATGATGTGGAAAGAAAAGAACGGAAAAGAAAACGCTTACTTGTTAAAGATTCATAAACAAATTTAAAATGTGAAAAAGGATAGGATTGCTGAAGAATCATTTTTAAGGGTCCAGGCTTTGCACCCAAGGATAGTGGTCAATGAAGTGAGTTAAGAATCATGAAGTCTCGGGTTCAGTTCCCAGCGGAGGCAAAAAATACTGAGTGATTTCTTTCCATATGTCCAAGTTTTGATGGACAGAATTACCTGGTATTTGTTGCTGGTGGGAGGTAGCAGGTATCCCGTGGATTTAGTCGAGGTGCGTGTAAGCTGGCCTCAGGGTTGTAAAAAGCGAGCACTTCCTCGCTTAAAGCGAGAAGCGAAGCGAGGCGAGGTATCTGGTGCTTCTGGTAGCTGAAGCGTAGCAGATTTACAAAAGCGCTCGCTTCCCCTGAAAAAGCAGAAGCGATGAAGCGTAAGAAGCGAGCGCTTCTCTTTATAACTGAGCTGCCAACGTATTTAATTAAAAAAACTGTCTTTTTTCAAAACACTATCGAGCAGCAGCAACAGAGAAAGAAAGAGGCGACCTAGGGTTTAAGTTTTCTACACTTTTCAACTTCAAAATCATCAAGTTTGGTCCCACGTATGTGATTTCCTCCCTTTTTTTTTTCTTTCACTGTTTCAGCGTCCAAATAGCAGCGAGATGCTAGCGAATTTTTTTTTCCCCTTCAGTTCTTCTTTCTCATTCTTCTTCATTTTGTTGCACTGTTTGAGTGAAAAAAGTTGAAATGCTGCCCATTTTTTCTTACAGTTACATGTATTGTCTGTGCAGTATTTATTTTAATATTTTTTTTAAAATTCCGCTTCACTTCAAAAAAGCGAGTGCTTCGCTTCTCGCTTTAAGCGAAAAGGGGCTTGTCGCTTTTCCCCGCTTCACGCTCTTCAGCCTAGGTTGGGGCGAAAACTCCAAAATCCAAAACGTTGGTTAGANGGGGGGGGAGGCTGTCAAACCACGTTCTTTCTTACGAAATGTATGCATGATTGAAGAGAAATGTTTTAAGAAAATCTTACCAATACCAATTACGATTAGCAAAATCGTCATTAGTAATTTGACGAAATTGATAAAGGTGGTGTAATTGGCTGGAAATAAGTTGCCATTTCTCTTCCCTTCAGCTGAAATTCCAGAGATTAGTTGTTAGCACAAATATGTTGGAGAATTTCTTGCATTTTTTTTATCATTGCTCTTCACCTAGAAAATGTTCACATAAATTGGAAATAAGTTAGCTCAATGCTTTGATTTCAATTATTGGAAGCTAAAGAATACTCTAAAACAGAATAAGCAACGAAAAGCTTTTCTAAAAGAAAAGTTGAAGGAAATAGATTTTGAAAATGGCATGTAAAGAATTATTGGTGTAACCATATGAAGAGGCTCAAGAAGTAACACACATACATACATACACTCTTCTTGTTTTAATTAGTGTGCTACTAATCCATTTAATAATAGATTTTTATTTTTCCAATAGATGTTCATTCTAATTCATGGTGGATTTACTCCGGCTCCTCAATTTGTTTGACAAACACCACCCAACGCTTCCAAAATAGGGAAGACAGAGAGAAATGAACATAACTTCTATTAGGACTTGCTTTAAAGTTGAATATGTCTGATCTCTTGAGTTACTTTAGAAAACAAATAAAAATTATTTTCACAAATATATTTATATCTGTCTGCCAAATATCTAGTCTCAATTTCAAAACTTGTCAAATGTGGTCTGATGGATCTTTAAGTGATGGCTTAAGTGTGATTATGATGAAACCTTTAAGGGTGTGTACCTCACTAGTTACGGCACACATCGGTGCTCGTAAAGAGCAGCTATTAATAAAGCTTTAAGTTTTCTCATGACATAGAATAATTTACCATATCATGCTTTTGAAAATGCCACATTATATCTTTTTGATACTTTGTGCATGTATGTTTAGAGGAATTACATCTAATCATTGTAGTTGGAGGTAATATTTATTTTCAACCATGCTACATGTACAAGTGTTCGTATTTACCTTGAATTGGAGGATTCTTGGGATCATTTTGATGGCCTTGGTGTGGGAAAATACGTTAATACTAATAAGAGTTATCCCCGTGATAAAAATCATATACCATAGATTTCTTGCCTCTTAAGTAACCTGCTTAAGTTGACATAACCTGAAAGGTTTGTACGTAATCACATACCTGGAGACTTCTTGTCTTGATTCACATTAGTTACTCCAGTAGTTACTGGAATAGAGAATCAAATCAAATCAGTCTTTGAATGTGTAAAATTCTTAGGTACAAAGTGTCAACAACACACTCCTGATGAGATGCTCAAATCATTTGGTTAGTTCATTTTCCAAAAGAGATTGGTCTACTTCCTAATTTTGATATAATGAGTTAATAAACTGGAAGGTTCCTGCGTAATCAAATGCACCTTATCTTCTTGATTATTTGTTGTATGCATATTCTGATGATTTGTATTTAGTTATTATCATAGTTAAGGGTAACATTTAGCTTCAACTGCAGTGTATACATGTGTATGCATTCACCTGGAATTGGGGGATTCTCAGGATCATCTTGATTGCCTTGGTGCGAAGAAAAAAGAAAAATAAGTTAGTACTAGTATGAGTTTTCCTCATGAAAATATATTATATATCATAGTTTCTGTATTCTAGCCGCTTAAGTAACCTGGTTAAGTCCATATAACCTGAAAAGTTTATTACATAGTCACGTACCTGTAGACTTCTTATCTCGCTTCTCATTAGTTTCTTCAGTAGGAGCTGGATAGAAATGAGAATTAGTCTTTGACAATGTAAAATTCTTAGGTACAGAATGCCAACAGGACTCTCCTGAGGCGCTCGAACCATTTGGTTAGTTCATTTTCAAAAAGAGATTGGTAATGTAATCACTTACCTTTAGACTTGTTTGCTTGCTTCCAGATTTCCTTAATGTAATCTAGATAGAGAAGAGAATCAGTCTTGGTAATGTAAAATTCTTAGGTAGAAAGTGCCAACAACAGTCTATCAAACACTTTGTTAGTGCATTATCAAAAGGAGATTGGTTTAGTGAAACCCCAAAAGCAAGTGAACCATTCTCGTTTTGATTTGAGTGTTTGGCATTTCCTCCCTAACAATTTTTGTACAAGTATAATGTACGATATAGATTAAATATAAGACATTGATCATGTGCGGTAAATCTACCCACCAAGAAAATTTGCAGTCCCATTCCAAAGTAGTTCCAAGAAGTCCACCAGTGTTTGGTAGTTATCTGGGAGTTTCCAGTTATCTGGGAGTCTACGATATGTGTCTTCTATGCCTTCAGTTTTATATTTCTCTATCTTTAGCTCTTCGACAGTTATGCCTGGACAAAAAGAACCCCGATATGTGTCGGTGCATTTAAATCCTTGTTAAAAGGGCTTATCTATGCCACTTTTTGACCAAAAAGACTAGAGATACTTACAGTAGTAGATAATGCTATCTATGTACCGAAAATGGCTTCCACTTTTGAATACTTGAGGCATCCTAGATAGAAAGTGTAGAGGAGACATGCCCTCTGAGTTTAAACGGTTGACAAGTAGCTCATAGCGCTTTATTATCTGAAAAGCCAACTCTGTTACAAGAAATTAAGTTGTTAATATCACTATCCCACAAGAAAGAAGACATTGTATGCAAACTTATGTAACAAAATGTTTGATAATTAACAAGAAAAGGGGATTTGGCTCTTACTAAAGTACTCGCCAGAGATAGCTGCGTGTAGAATGTTATCCCCATCTCCCCTCCTGCAAAGTACAATTGGATCTTTTCCGCTCTTTTCATTTTGACAACACTCATGTAGGTAGAGAAAAGCATCTAGCCTGCCACGATAAGCAGCAACGAATAAAGGGGTTTCACCTTTTGAATTGGTCTCCCAGATGAGTTCAGGTTCTTGTGGGTTTACCAAACACGCAATTATGGAGACACTTCCGAGTTCTGCTGCAAGGTGAAGAGGTGTGTTCCCTTTTTCATTCTTCTGTTTTAAGATACACAATCGATTTTCCTTTGGTATTTTAACTACCATATCCTTAATACAATCAAGATGAGTTTTCTGTAAAGAGTCATCTCGATGTGGATGGTAAGAAGAGATAGCTAAGTGAAGAACAGTATCTTCAGATTTAGTGAGTTTGGATTCTTGGGCAAACTTGTCGTTGATGTACAGTTGCTTAACTCCTGTCCACCTATTCTCCATGCAGGCTTGAAATAATTGATCTTTAATTCTTTTTTTCTCCTTTTCTTCCTCATCGGAAGGTCGTCCCAATTCCATTCCTAGTACCGAAATCTGTGGTTGAATTTCTTGTTTTCCTCTTTTGCTCAGCCCACCTAAAGGCTCCATTCTCACTACTTGTTATAACTGCAGATTATGTTTGATGCCACTCACCAGTCACCAATGGCTTTAATTTATACTGCTAGGAGGGGCATATTCTTGAGAAATATTTGTTCACAAACCTCTACTTGTGCATGTGTAATGCCTTTCTAATACCCAAAGTATTAAAGAATCTAATGTTTCTACACTCATGGTGGTGTAAAATAACTTTTATTCTATCATATCACCTAAAAAATAGTTACTAATAGTCAGAGGCGGACCCAAGATTTGAAGGTCGTTGATATACTTTTTGATTAAACTAAAATCTGTTTTGTATATAAGGTAAACCCCTATTAATATATCACTAGTTCCTAAAAACATATACATGTATATATGAAATTTTTGTCGAACTTTACGGGTGTCGGTGACCCCTCTACCTGCCTATTGCATAGGTCCGCCTCTGCTAATAATTGTTCATAATAAGTGAGCTGAATTTAGCTCATACACCAGAAATTTAGTTTAACACTATCAATGTACTTTAATCTATTACTCCAAGTGATTACTTTATTTCTAAGTTGATAAATATTGTTAAGTGTTATTATAGTCCGTTACATGTTGTATGTTACTTTGGCCTTGATGGTGTAGGAAAAAAGTCTTATGCCGTCAGTGCACTTAAGTTAAAACTCTAGGTGAAATTGGTGATATGAAAGTAAAACAGGTGATCTCTTACCACGGGTTTGAAGACATGATTATGTAAAATTTTCATATATTGTCAGGTACCTCTTACAATAGATTTTAGGTGAAATGATAGTATAACTTTATACATATTGTCATTGCATATAAGTTAAATCCGATAATAGGTGTTGGACAAAATCACGAAAATACTTGTCGCCTAATTAACTTTTGACGAAGAAAAGCAAAAAAGTACGTTGAATACAATGGAAATTATCAGAATGCCTTATAGTTTTTCACTGAAAGATTCCTCGTGCATACGAAAAGCTCGCATGACTTCTTTTTTTGTGACACTGCGTGGCTATTTATCTAAAAGTTTAAGTTGTTAAAGAGCGTATTACTTATGGCTTAAACACACGCTTTCATCACGTGAATTTTTTTTGTGATAATGGGTGGCGGTGAGATTTGAACGTGAGACGTCTGCCTGCTATTATATCATATTGAATTGTGTGACAATCTCACCTACACGTTTAAGCTGTTAAAGATGGTATACTTTTTATTTACTTAATTTTATCTTCTAACATTGTTAAGTGTTCTACATTGGTTGAAGATATGAGGGGTTGACTTCGACAATCGTGATGGTATAAAAAAAAAAAGGACAGTCCGGTGCACTAAGTTTTCGCTATGCGCGGAGTTCAGGGAAGGGAGTTACCACAAGGGTCTTATCATATATACGCAGTCTTACCTTGTATTTCTGCAAGAGGCTGTTTCCACGGCTCAAACTCGTTTCCTGATCATATGACAATCGTGATGGTATACTTTCTATTTTTTAAATTTTTTCTTCAACATTGTTTAAGTGTTCTATATTGGTTGAAGATATGAGATGTTGTCTCCGACAATCCTCGCATCACGAGCTACTTGTTGGGGATGAGTTAGGTCCATGTTCATTTTCTTTACACTTTTGTCATGCAAAACTCAAGGGTAATCTCCTTTCTCTTTGAAGCAAGACCTCTAGTCATTTGTTCCCTTCTTGCTGCTATCACCAAAGCATCTCTCTTTTGCCTCCTGACTTTATAGTACACTAGAATTGCTACTCCAGTAGAAATTCTTTTATTTTTTGTCCTGCTTGAATCATAAGTTTTTCTTGCATTTTCATCTTATTGTCTTAGAATAATAACTTGTTACTGATTTCGCTTCGATGTTCTTATAACTTGATAGCTGGTGTTATTACGTGTTGCTACCGTTCTTTTTTCATCTTTCTTTGAGTCGAGGGTTTACCGATAACAACCTCTCTCTATCTACCTTCTCAAGTTTAGGGTAAGGTTTGCCTACATATTACCCTCTCTAGACGATACTGGTTTAACCTCACAATGATCTAATTACTCTTCTCGTCTGATAAAATATTATCCTTTATGATTGCAACTTACAAGATTATATTAGTATAATCTTGCACCGGTGGAATTCGAGAAAGTCGTTTCCCGTAAGAGTTGAAAAATACAAAGATTTTTTATATTATATCTATTGACAAGAACCATATAAAAATGAAAATTTATTGGTTGACAAGTATCAATGTGCAAATTGTGTGTCTCTTAGAATCTCATGGGATTACTTTTTTTTTTTTTAAAGTTATTATTATTTTTTTGTCTTTTAGTTTGTAAATCCATAATGTGGCAGGGCCAAAACTGGATTTTGGACATAAAGATATGCATTTTATTTGGTATATTCTTTGCTCAAATGTAATGCTATTCTCCTTTTAGTTTCTTTCTCTACATTTTCCTTTACTTTAAGTATCTTAAATGTCGAGTTTGAACACTTTGGCTGCACCTTTTTTCCTGTGACGTTAGTAATTATTTTATTGTATTTCTAGAGTTTACCTTTTTTGTCTGCGTAAAGGGTTAAGGAACATCTATTTTATCTGCAATTTAACTCTTTTTAACAATAGAACATTTCCCGGTATTTGGAGAATGGGAAATATTTCTGGAGAAAAATGTGTAGTAGAGATTGTTAATAATGTTTAGCAAATTGGATAATGTTTTGACGACACTTTTGAGCAGTTTGATAATAAATATTCAGGGTTGATTAATTAGACGTGAAGTTAAGATTGGAGATAATTGCGAAAAAAATGATTTTTCCTTCCAAAAAGTCATTTACCATCTTTCGAGAAAAATTTCTTCTGGCAATTGAACAGTAAAATATTACTGTACTTATTTTTTCGACAAACATTGTCAGTCATTCCAAACACAGTAATAATAAAGAGAGATATGGATGTAAGAACTCTTAATATTCACTTACTTTTTTTGCCTTTAGAATGTCCATAGGTTAACATCATTCTAGTATCCTCTTCTTTTTTTACAATTCTTGATATGAAAGGAAAGAGTAAATGAAGTTGTTAAAAGTAAATGATTAGTGGTGGCGGATGTAGCTCTACCTAGTATTTTTAATGCGGGACATAAATATATAAGTGGAAATTGATTAATCTCCCTCATCCCGTGTCTAGTAGAGGTAGAGGCAAGAATTGTAGAATCTTGACTATCATACTTTGAAACTTGTAAACTTTTTTTTCTTCATTTATTTTTGTTTCATTCTTGGTAGTGAAATAACACAAATCACATCTAGACGTGCATGCGGGGCAGGGCAGGGCAAAAGTAGGGCAGGACAGAACAATACTTAAACGGGGCAAGGGCAGGGCGGGTCAAAAGCATTTTAGAAAATTTTAAATAGGACAGGACAAAGATAAGTAAAGAGTTTTAACTTCATTAAAAAGATCAATAACTTAAATAGAATCTTGTAAAATGAAAAAGTTAAAAAAGAAAAGAAAAAGAGGAGAGCGTAAACAGGGCAACATTTGGAAAAGCCAAATAGGGCAGCGTAGGACGGATCAAAAGCTTAGCAGGCCACAACTTGCCTTGCCATGGACTGTCCTACCCAATTGCCATCCCTAGAACTCATGCAAAGACAATACATTCAAAGATTTTGGTTATTAAAACCTAAAGTTATCAAGATGGTTATTTTGGTTAAAGTAGAAGCCACTGAAATATATTGTTGTTTATTGGCCAGTTGCATCTAAGTCCAAGCCAGAATTAGAGGCCAACACAGAGCAAAGCCCATAGATTGTATAGTTAAAGAGAGGCATAACTCATGAACCCTTCTTATATTTGGCTATTTGATAGCCTCGGTCCCTAATTAATCTCACCTAATGAAGATGAGAGCCACGTGCTGTCACGCGAATTTTTTGTTCATCTGGCATGTTAAGATTAAAAGGTTTCTTAAAATGACCGACCGAAAAATGGATTTAAATCACATTCAAGGATAACGCAAACAAGAAGAAGATAAAAGTAAGCCTATATAGATGTTATAAGTAAAGTTCTAACCCTATGATAGATTGTCTTGGTCATTCCTCTCTGCTGTTTTGAGTAGTATGGGATTTAGAGAAGACTTCATTGCTATGATTTAGAGGTTGATCTCCAATGTGTGGTACTCTATCTTTATTAATGGGTCAAGGTATGGTTTCTTTCAGTCCACCAAAGGATTAAAAAAAGGAGACCCTCTATCCCCAGGATTGTTTGTCTTGGCTGCAGAAGCCCTCACAAGATCTCTAGATCATTTACATGATAAAGAAGGATATATAGGTTTCTCAATGCACCAACAAGGTCCTCAGATTAATCACTTGAGTTATGTAGATGACTTGGTGATTTTCACTTCTGGAGATAAAAGGAATGTGAAAATGATCACGAAGAGCCTTCACCAATATGAAAGAGCATCAGGGCAAAAAATCAACAATGAGAAGAGTGTGTTCTTGACAGTGAGGCACACATCAGAAACAAAGAGAAGAATGCTTCAAAAAGTGACTGGCTTTAAACATCAACATTTTCCTTTTAAATATCTTGGATCCCCCATCTATGCTGGTAGAAAGAAAATTGCCTACTTCTCTGATATAACTGCTAATGTTATGAATAAAATTCAGGCTTGGCAAGGAAACCTTCTATCTCCAGGAGGAAGAGCTACTCTCATAAAGCATGTACTACAATCGCAAACTTTGCATACTCTAGCAGCTATATCACCTCCAAAAACAGTGATCAAGCAACTGGAAAAGCATTTCTCGGATTTTTTCTGGGGTCAACCAGAGGCCAAAATAGATATCATTGGAGTTCATGGCGCAATATGTGCTATCCTACAAGTGAGGGAGGAACATGTTTTAAAAGACTTGAAGACATAAGCAGAGATTTTATTGCAAAAATATGGTGGAGATTAAGAGTAGTTGATAATCTTTGGTCAAAGTTCATGAAGGCCAAATATTGCCATAGATCACATCCAGTTGCTAAATTATGTGTTGCATGCCATTCTAGTAGCTAGAAAGACTTGATGAGCATTAAGAAGCAAGCAGAGCCTAACATACTGTGGAAAATTAATGCAGCAAACTTGGACTTTTGGTGGGACAATTGGAGCGATTTAGGTTCAATGGCTCAGTTCTACCCCCAAAGAGAAAAACCAGGAAACCTGCTAGTAGAAGATTGCATAGAGGAGGACTACATTGGTGGATGGGATAGGGATTTTCTTAGCATTCTGGTGCCAGAACACATAGAGAACAAGATAATTCAAATTACCATTGGAGATAGAAATCAGAAGGATCAGGCAACATGGAAGTTGACCTCTGACGACAACTTCACTTGTGCCTCAGCCTTATAACACCTGAGACAAAGAAGACAATCTAATACTATGTGGAGGAATGTATGGAGGAAAAATATTCCTTTCAAGATGTCATTTCTTCTATGGAGGACACTTAAAAGGAAGATACATGTAGATGAAATCCTCTCCAGGTTTGGTCAAATGACTATGTCCAAATGTAGTTGTTGCAAAAGTCCTCAGGAGGAAACTATTGACCACATTTTTATTCTTGTAGAAAATGCCTCAGCAATTTGGAAACGTTTCTGTGATCCTTTAAGCATTAACAGAAATGCTCAAAATCTCATACATATGTTACAGACCTTCTAGAAACAGTAATATGAAGACTGTAGGGATGGGACGGATTGTTAGGAATAGAAATGGAGATTTAGTTTTTGCCTTTGCAAAGCCTCTTCAATTCTGCACTAAAAACTCAGCTGAAGTACATGTTGCATCTTTGGCTCTATCATTATGTAGGGCTAATAATTTCACTCATGTCCTATTGGAGATGGACTAACTATTGGTAGTTAACTTATTGGAGAACAATATTAATCCTCCTTGGGGAATGTGAGATGAAATTAGGAAGATGAAAAATATTATTCATGAATGCCATTACAGAGTAATGCACTGTTATAGAGAAGGTAACGAAGTGGCAGATGTACTTGCCAAGCATGGAGGTTCAATACTGGAACTCCCTTTAGCACCTATTCCTACAATGTACTATAGAGATGCCTAGAGAAGCAAGAGGAGCATATAAAATGGACAAGATGCAAATGCCTAACTTTAGAATCAGACAAAGTAATAGGAAACATGCAGTTTGCAACTTAAGTAAAGAGCAAGTGCAAGGAAATGCCAGAAATACTCAAGTCTCCATTTCAGGTGGATTCAATCATCCCTCCAGACCTGAACAGTTGCAAAGCTACAAAAATGTAGCAGGATACAACCTCTCGCATCAGTTTGGTGTAACTAATCCTCTAACAACACCACAGTATTATAGGAGCACAGAAGAAGTATCACTTTCTCCCACAAACCATAGGATCAACTCAAATAATGTCTATGATGTACATTGACTTGTATTTTGTAGATGTTTGGAGGGAGATTGGATACTTAATTTATCTCACATTTTTTTGCACAGGCTAGTACTGTAATAGTAGTCCTAGTCTAGAATATCTAAGAGTTTGGAGATGTCCAACTCTCTGTTTTAGGAAGTTAAGAGGTAAGGTCACATGTCCCCCTCATTTGTACCATTTTGGATGTTAATATATATGGCACTGCATGAGGTGAAAGCCTGGGTGGATGGATTTATAAAAAAAAGCAAAGTTCTAACTTCTAACGCCTTAATTATCTATACGAGAGTGCACTTTCTTGCTCATCAAAACCTCAAAAAATCTAAATATTGTATTACGTAATGCCAATTTTTTTTAGTCTTATGCTTTCAATACAAGCTAGTACTTTCACTAACAAAATATGCAAAACTATACCCTTGTTCTGTTTCTTGATAACCTTATTTCTGCCACTAATTGTCCCCAACCCCTTTGCCTTAACAACAATAACA